CCTCAAAAAATTAAAAATAGATCTACCCTATGACCCAGCAATAGCACCGCTAGGAATTTACCCAAGGGATACAGGAGTCCTGATGCATAGGGGCACTTTTACCCCAATGTTTATAGCAGCACTTTCACCAATAGCCAAATTATGGAAAGAACTTAAATGTCCATCAACTGATGAATGGATAAAGAAGTTGTGGTTTATATATACGATGGAATACTACTTGGCAAGGAGAAAGAATGAAATATGGCCTTTTGTAGCAACGTGGATGGAACTGGAGAGTGTTATGCTAAGTGAAATAAGTCATACAGAGAAAGACAGATACCGTATGTTTTCACTATTATGTGGATCCTGAGAAACTTAACATAAGACCATGGGAAAGGGGAAAAGTTACAGAGAGGGAAGGAGGCAAACCATAAGAGACTCTTAAAAACTGAGAATAAACTGAGGGTTGATGGGGAGTGGGAGTGAGTGGATGGTGGGTGATGGGCATTGAGGAGGGCACCTGTTGGGATGAGCACTGGGTGTTGTATGGAAACCAGTTTGACAATAAATTTCATATTTAACAAAAACACCTTCACAGGTACTTTTGCAGCTTTTGCTGAATATGAAGCATTGTCTTTTGAATAGCTGCCGCAAGGGGAAGCAATGTTTAAACTATTAACATTGAATGAAAGCTAATTGTGGTCACTTGTCTAAGTATCTGGAAGTGGCAATAAAAATTCCCTCACACTTGTTTAGTGCTTTCTAATTTCCAAGCACTTTCACATGTCATCTTGATTAACCCTCAGTACAGTGTAGTAAAGTAGTTAAAGGCTCAGGCTCAGCAGGGGGGCTGCCTGGATTGAGGCCCTTACTCTGCCATATTTAACCTCTCTAAACCCTGGATTTCTTTTCTGAAAATAGGAACAGCAGTACTGGTCTGTGGGAATATTGTGTGGATTAAGTGTGATGATCTGGGTGAAGTAGTTAGCACAGTGTCTTACATTGTTAGCTGATCGCTAATTGTCAGCTGTTCTTACCACTGCCGCCTCTTTCACTACCGTTATTACTACAAGAGAAGTCCCTGTGAAGTGACAGTGGGCAAATAGTGAAAGTTTCACTTCTTCCTTACCAATTTGGATGCCTTTTTTATTTCATTTTATTGTGTGATGGCTGTGGCTAGGACTTCCAGTACTATGTTAAATAACAGTGGTGAGGGTGGACATCTCTGTCATGTTCCTGATCATAGAGGAAAAGCTCCCAGTTTTTCCCCATTGAAGATGATTTTAGCTGTGGATTTTTCATATATGGCCTTTGTTATATTGAGGTATGTTGAGGTATTCTCTCTAAACCTACTTTGTTGAGAGTTTTTATCATAAGTGGATATTTGTGAGATGCTTTTTCTGCATCTCTTGAAATGATCATATGGTTCTTATCCTTTTATTAATGTGGTGTATCACAATGACTGGGGAATATTGAACCACCCTTTCAACCTAGAAATAAATCCCATTTGATCATGGTGAATGATTCTCTTGATGCATTATTGGATTCAGTTTGCTAGTATTTTCTTGAGAATTTTTGCATCCATGTTCTTCAGGGATATTAGCCTGTAGTTCTCTTTTTCAGTGGAGTCTTTGTTTGGTTTTGGTATCAGGGAAATGCTGCCTCATAGAGTGACTTTAGAAGTTTTTCCTTCCTTTTCTATTTTTGGAATAGTTTGAGAAAAATAGGTATTAATTCCTCTTTAAATGTTTGATAGAATTTGCCTGTGAAGCCATCTGGCCCTGGATTTTGTTTTTGGGGAATTTTTATACATTTCTTTCAGGTTGTCCCATTTGTTGACATATGGTTTTTCATAATATTCTCTTATAGTTGTTTTTATCTCTGTGGTGTTGGTTGTTATTTCTCCTCTCTCATTTGTGATTTTATTTGGGTCCTTTTTCTTTTCTTTTTGATAAGTCTAGAGGTTTATCAGTGTTTCTAATTTTTTTCAAGTAACTATCTCCTAGTTTTATTGATCTATTTATTGTGTTTTTTTAGTTTCTCTTTCACTTATTTCTGTTCTAATCTTTATTATTTCCTTCCTTTTGCTGGCTTTAGGCTTCATTTGTTCTTTTCTCTAGCTCCTTCAGGTGTAAGGTTAGGTTGTTTATTTGAAATTATGCTTGGTTCTTGATGTAGGCCTGTATTTCTAAACAATCTTCTATTGGTTCTCAGTGAACTTAAATCATATTCTTACCATTGTGAACAAACACACTGTACAATTTAAAAATACATAAACCCAACTTCACAATACTAAAAATTATCTGGATAGAATTACCACTGATTACCAAGTTAATTTTCTCTCTCGGGAAATCACGTTACAAAAGGATGGATTTGTACTACTAAGAAAAGCATCTTTCTGTATTGCAAAGAAGAATGTAGGAAGTTTTTGAAATTACTTTGATAGTGTGAGGTAGTGGGAGGAAAAATGCAAATTTGCCTTTTAAAAGTGACAGTGACTTTTAACTTAATTTTGCCAAAACACTTTGCCTCACGGTTTGGTCCCATAAATATTGGATTTCTCCTTGGAGTAGGTTTAGAGAAGACACACAGTACTCATTCCAACCTTGACAGTTTCTTTATCCTCAGGATATTTTCCTCCTCTGGACCATGATTTTCTCAAATATAAAATGAAAAAATTTGATTCAGAAATTCTTTCTAGATCTAAAACTATATGAAATACCTGTAGATTTTAAGAAGCTAAAATATCTTTTGAGAGGAAGGGGAAACTTTATAGTAAGAATATGTACATGAAGTCAACCTGTAATTTGCTACTGTAAGGTAATGACCACAAGTGTATTCTGAAGAAATATACTAAGGGAAATGCCTTTCATCCATTGGAGAAAAATTGTGGTTTTAGATTTCTGCCTCCGGAGTGACAGATTCAGAAGAGCCAAAAGCTACATAGCTCTGTTTTTTCCCAGGCCAGGTCAGGTACATACCACCAGGTGATAGTTATAAGCACTGGTGCATGCTGGGAAGGTAACATTCCCCTGCCCTTCAGAGACCACCCACCCCAGGATGGAATGTGTTCCAGACTCAGGTAAGCCAGGTGTGCAATAGATCGGGGCAGTGAGCAGGGGGGAGGGGAGGATGTTGCTAGCACACCTTTCCTAAAGGACAGGCTCCTCAACTTGCAATGTGCCCTTGGCCCGCAACTGTGCTGGAAGGAAGTTAAACTCTAGTGTTGGTCTGTAAACATGTATTAGAACTCTAGGTGTGCCTTTCATCTACTGAGTGTCCCAAAAGAGCAGGCTGCTAATGAGTTATTTTACCTCTGGCAAGTAACAGCGATACCCAACTAGACAAAAGACAACAGTATAGAGTAGTGCTCTGAATACATTATCCTTTACAGTGTAGATACTTTCCCCTGCAAGTTTCTTTTTATCAAATCTCATTTTTGAAGACTTAGAAAGAACCTTTCTGTCTCACTGAAAATAAGCCCCTCCTTACCTTAACAGGCAATTTTGAAATTCTTTCCTAGATGAAACATTGGTTTCCTATTAAATTGTTGCTGTTAAATGATTTAAAAGCAGGAAAAGAAAAGTCTATATAGAAGGATAAGGAGAATTTCTGTGACCACTTGAATAAAATGTCCTGATGAAACCACAAAAAAGACTTCAGTAAAGGTTACAAACAAAAGAAAATTCTGTTCTCAGCAGTGAAAGGATCAATACTAAATGAGAAAATACACATACAAACACAAAATTCTATGTAAAAATATGATAAGGAGCTGAACTGAATGTCAGGCTAACTTAGACTGTTGGAAAATAGTAAATTATGGGGAGAAAGTAAAAGACTGTTCAGTACAGTGACATCCTTTTGACCTAGGTCTGAAGTCCCAGGATTCACTGCAGCAGGCCTAACAAGGGAAGCTAGGCTCCTGCAGGCCACGAGCGTTCTTCATATGACTGCCAGATTGTTAGGGAGGTTTTTCAGTTTGTGTTTACTTTATGAAGAAACTGCCAAATGGTATTTCTAAAATTAAGTAGAAAGCCCCAATGAAATAGAAAATCAAAAGTTACCAGCTATGGACAGAGAATATATTGTAAAAATATATCTGATTTACTTTACACTGAGCTTATTTTCTTAGGGCTGATGAAGAAGTGACATTTGATGTTTAAACCACATTGACAGTTTCTGGATAATGAGATTAGTATATTTCACCCAGAATTATCCCAACAATCCTTAAATATAATGTATTCTTGCCCTTTGGCCAAGAATAAAGCACTTAGGGAATTCTTTTTTTTTTTTTTTTTTTTTTTTAATGGAAGAGACATCAGAAAGACATTGTTTGGCCCATGATTAGTTTTTACTTCCCTCCACCAAAGAGAAAGTTTCTGCTGAATCTTCTGTAAAAGAGATACCCAATGTGAGGAATCAGTGCACACAGGCTCTAAAGTCTATTAAATTCAGGTTCAAGTACTGGACCTTCCTTTAATTAGCTGTGAAACTTGGGCATGTCCTTGATATCTCTGAACTTGAATTCTCAATCTGTAAAAATTAAATGTTATGATACAGGAAAAATGTTTAACCATGTTTGACTTAGTAGAAAAACCTCATAGATGTTAGTCTCTGTCCTTCCTTCTCTTCCTCTCTCCCAGTGAGTATTGTTCACAATTTATCCTTTTTTTTTTTTTTTTTTTTAGTATCTTTAGGTTGTCATTTTAAGCATAAGCAGTTATACTGATATATACTAAATGATAATTTCAGAGGAAATAAAGATGAGTGAGTCTAATAAAGACAACTGAGTCTCATGTTGTAATACCTTTTTTGCACTCATATCTGTCCTTTCTTGTGCTTCCAGAATTAGTGTCACCTTTTGCTACTGCCTGCCTCTAAAATAGTCACCACTTTCCTCTTTTATATTGTTTTTTCTGTTCCTCTGTAAACCATGAAACCTCAGCCTCTTACATTTGTTTATAAAATCAGAGTCTGTAGGGTCTGAATGACCCATAAGGTGAGCAGAGCATCACTCTGATCCCTTGATCATGTATGTAGTAGATACTCAAATGTTAGATAAGCAGGTGATTAAATAAATGTCATTAATTTTGGTACCTCAGGGTTTTTTTTGTTTTTTATTAATTCTCAAACTATATTCTTCAAAAAAGAAATAAATGGATGAAGTACTTCTAATTAAGTGAAAGATTACTAAATACACATGCATAGTGTTTTATTTGAAGTAATGATGAAAATCAGTACAAGGTTTTGAAAAGAAAAAATTATGAAATTTTGTGATGATGAAGAAACTGACATTACCCAGAAATGTATTTCTCCTATTCTTTCTGTAGTGTGTAAAAGAAAAAGAAAGTTGTGTTTTTAGTGGATTTATTGAGTTAATTTTAAAATGTGGCCAACTTGAAAACACAAGTTATATTTTCTCTGCCGGGGGGCCCCACTAATAGTGGATAGATATAGGCCTGAATCCTCAAAAACAAAGAAAATAGAAAGAAAAGGAAAGCAAATATGTTTTAATCTGGGAAGCATATACTTAAAGGACAGTTGTCTAAAAGCTAAAACCTAAATTAATGGAAGAAAAATGCCAGAAGAAAATTTGTGCCACAGAACCCCAGAAGGTTCAAGAATTAGAGTCACCAAGTATCTCAGAAAATGAGGATACAAGTGGGGCTGGAAAGAGGGTAATTGGTTGAAAGTCTAAACAAGAAACAGTTTAGATACCCTAGATTTCATGTGCTCTGTGTACCGCCAAATGACACTCCCCTCAATGGTGGCAGAAACAAGTTTGAAACCTAAAGTTTCTCCAGGTACAGGGACACCATATACAGACACAAAAAATCCTACAAAAACAAAATGACTAAGTGAAAATCTATTCCCTAAATAGTGAGACACTCGGCCTCCTTCTTCTATGAATCTCTGCAAAAATGGATAGGCCATGTTATATACTCCAGGCTTAGAAGATATAGGATTTCATTCTTCTGAAACTAACTCTCCTGGGAGAACATACCTATACTACTAATAGTTGGGATTTCCCAGTGGAAAAGCTGGGTCTCTGTTTAGTCATCTAACTTGAAGCCCTTCACACAGAGTGTGTGTCCACCTTGTGATTGGATCAAGATTGTGCTAAACTAATCTATGCATCAGTCTTGAGTATGAACAGAAAGCCCTACATTACCACTTATTTATGGAAAGCTTACAACCTAAAGAGAAAGAACTCACAGGAAACAGAGACCATGTAAGAAACAGAAGAAAATCTTAAAAAAGCATAACTTCACAGAGATGAGAAACATATCCATGAAACAAAAAATACTATAAAAACAAAACATACAGGGAGCTAAAAATAGCTCCTGAAAATTAGAAATACAATAGATGAAATGAAAAACTCAGTAGAAGGACTGGAAAATAAAGTTAAGGAAATCACCTAAGAAGTAGGACAAAATGTAAAGAGGTGAAAAGCTGAAGAAAACAAAATATAAGAAAATTACAGGCTCAGTTCAGGACCAAAGTCCAGCAGAGAAAAGTGAGTGGGAGGAAATTAGCAAGGAAATAATGCAAGAAATTTCCCCATAAGTGAAACACATGGTTTTCAGATTGAAAAGAGTACTGAGTTTTTGTACACACACACACACACACACACACACACACACACACACACACACACAAGAAGGAAGAAGGAGAAGGAGAACCTATACCAAGACACAGGAAATCAGGGATAAGAAGTTCCTGAAAGTTTCTAGAGAGGACAAAACAGACCATGTACAAAAATATTAGAATTTGTTTGGACCTTTTAATGACAGCCCTTGGAGTAGGAAATAACGGAGCAGTCTTTCACAACTCAGAAGGAAAAGTAGTTGCAACCAAGAATCCTCCATTCAGCCAAACCATCATTCAAGTATAAGGATGAAATAAAGATCTATAAAGACTCACTGGTCTCAAAATTTTTCTTTCCATGCAGCCTTTCTTAGGAACTTGTCGGAATATATTCCTCAACAAAATGAGAGAATGGGAAGAAAAAAAGACATGGAATCCAAGAAACAAGGGAATCTAACCCAGGAAGGGGTGAAAGGAATTCTTAAGATGAAGATGAAGGGCAATCCCAAGAGGAGAGTTGTGTCACAGGCCTACAGAGCAGACAGTCCATATTAGTGCAGGGGTGTTGTAGGTTTCAGGGGGAATGTGGGGGGAGAAAAAGAATCAACAATTTCTGCTGTGTCTGAACTCGAGAGGAAATTTCACTGTAACCAGAAAGATTGACAATGAATTAATGACAGATAAATAGGAAATTCAGCATATGAAAAAAGTTACCTGAGACCAAAAATTTGTATAAGAAAGTAAATGTAATCATCATATGCTAAAGAACTTAACCATGAACGATATTTGTGTAGGCATAATGGAAGAAACAATATCATGCAGTCAATAGTACCACGGACCAAATGTCCTGCCTCTCTTCCTCTTTCCGAGTACACAGTTGGATGACATTTCTTGGTTCTCTTGTGGTTGGGTTGGATGGTATGATTATTCTAGCCAATAAGGTGTGAGCAAAAATGAGAAGATCACTTTCAGGTAATGCATTTAATGTTGATTCAAGACCTTACAGAGATTTTTTCTCTTCTCTGCCACTGTGACCTATAGTGCTCTGTACTGTCTGATACACTAGCCAATATTAAAGTTAAAATTAATTAAATTTAAAAATATAATCCCTGTATCACACTAACCAAATTTCTAGTGCTCAACAGCCACATGTGACTAGTGCAGATATAGAACAGTGTAGACTTAAAAACTTGCATCATCTTAGAAAGTTCTATTGGTTGTTGTTGCTATAAATGGTACTTGCTCTGTCACTCCAGAGTAGAGACAAGGACGCAGAACAGAGCCCCAGCCGGCCTGAGACGAACATGTCATTTGAATGAAAAATAAAACTTTATTGTTTGAAGCCACTGAAATTTTTGAGGAGTGTTTCACTGCAGCATAACCCAGCTCATCCTGACTTACATAGAAATCCTAGGTTCAAATTCCATTCTCATATACCACCTGCTATATTGGGATAGGCTAGGTTACACTAGTCACAATCGAAAGTTTGTGTGACTGTTTTATAACTACTATAGAGTTTCTTTTTTTATTTATTTATTTATTTATTTATTTTTATTTATATATGAAAT